CAATCTCATCCTCCCCCACTCTCCTTCAATCTCATCCTCCCCACTCTCCTTCAATCTCATCCTCTGCACTCCCGGCCAATCTCATCCTCCCCACTCCTGGCCAATCTCATCCTCCACACTCCTGGCCAATCTCATCCTCCGCACTCCCGGCCAATCTCATGCACCATCATCTGCACGGTGCTTCAACCATGTCTCAGAGAGATTCCTTGACCTGGGCTCTGTACAGACCTGCACCTCGCAGTGGGCATGGTCTCCCCTGCAGCCCTCTCAGCTGTGGGTTTCTCCCTCACTCCCCGCCACCACTGGGCCCGAGGTGGGCAGGGGTCCCACTTGCTCCTCAATGTCACGTCCAGATCGTCGTTCTGTCCTTGTTCCTTGAGGGTGCCGGTTCCTGCCTCTGTCTCCAGTGCTGCTGTCACCACTTTTTATTTCAATAGCCACGTGGGTGACGTGCCAGCATCCTAGCCCCTCAGTCCCTTGACCTGCTCTCTTCCAGTGACCCTGTCCTCTGCCCGGGCTCAGCCACCCTCTCGCCTGGACAGACCCTAGACTTTGTCGTTGTCAGGAACTACACCCACTACAAACTCCCCTGTTAGCACCCCCTCTGATGCCACCTCCTAACCTGCCAGCTCACTCCTTCTAGCACACCAGCTCTACCAAGCCTTCAACCCCACCGGGACCTGCACCCACTGAAGGCTGAGCCCTCTCTACCCCCTTCTCGCCAGCTGGCACCCCTTCCTGTTCTCTCTTCCCTTCACCTGGCTTAGATTCTGTAAACCCTCCCTCGACTCTCAACTCCTTTGGCCATCTTTCCCTCCGCCATGCTGCCTAAGCAAAGCTCCAGCCACAGTTAAATCCTCTTCTCCCCCCACTCTACACCTGCGCCCACTTAGACTCGTGACCACTGACCTCAAGTGACCCGTGGCACTGACTGGCAGTCTTACAACATTTCTGGGTGCTTTTTTCTCTTTCACAGTCCTAGAAAACCATTCCAAACCTTCTCCTCTCTCCGGAAACCTCCCTCGCCTCCTCCCCCTCCTCACCCAGAGCTGATAACCTACCTCTTCCCACCGCTTCATCTGCCAGCCCACCTGCCTGTGAGCCCGCATCCACGCTGCCCTCCTGGGACAACGGATGTGCGGCCCCAATCCTCCCTGGGTGCGCTTTCCCTACTCGAGTGTCACCTGGCCTTGCCCCTGCTCGCTCTCCATCACCAAGCACACAGATACGCTGTCAATATCACCCATCCTGAAAATTCACCCTCCCTGGGCCGTCCACCCCCACATTTCTTCAGCTCCCTTTATAGGAAAACTCCTCAGGAGTCGTGTGTCCTTGCTGCCCAATCCTTTCTTCCCGTTGTCTCCCCACCGCGCCATCAAAACCACTCTGCTACCAAATCCAAAAGGCCTTTCTCTTCTTCCTCTCTTGGTGGCCTGTCAGAGACCTTGACCCAGATGGTCAACTGTCCTTCCTGAAACACTTTCCCACTTGGGCCCTGGGACACAAGCCTCCTCCGCTCTCCTCTCACGCCCCTGGCTGTCCCCTCTGCCACTTCCCTTCCACGCTCTGCCCTCCTAACTCCGGAGTACCCCGGGCAGTGGAGCGCTGGCAAAGGTCTAACAGCCAGCGGTTGGGGAGATGGGGGGGTGCATATACAGCATGCAATACACAGATAATAGTACAGTATATACTACTCTTGATTGTAAAATTTGTTGTCAGTTCCATAGAGCCCGCTGATTCTTACAGAATGCCTCTCTTGTAACTGTGGCCAACCCAATTGCAACTCAACCACAATTCCACAAACGGAGTTCAGCGCAATCTGCTAATTCTTTCCTCCAGTAAATTGATTGTCACTAAATCTGATACATGACGTGAATGTTGATTGATCTTTTCGTTCATGTTCAAGAATAAGATGAAAGTGAAACAAGGAAGATGCCAAACTTCACTCCTTCAGTGATGTGAGCAACTTCTTTGCTGAGTCCGATAACACTGGAAGAAAACTTTTTGTGCTTATCACAATGTAACAGCCATAGACACAACACACTTTTAAGATTAATCAGTGTTATTAACCTTTTCTCCATCACTTTCTTAGTCTAGACGATTGATAAACAATAAATGGAGTCATGATTTGTAGCACTGGCCGATTTCCATGGTGTAAATGCTCCCACTATGGTCAATTTCGGGTTACCATTGCAACGTCATTGAACTTGGAGTTGCCGAGAGATGCACAGCAGCTCCCTAGGATATAACTGTTTCTACCACACAGAGGTAAATGATCTCCAGAGCATAGGTAATGGTAGAATGTAGTAAAATAATTAGGAAGTGATGCGTTTTGAGTGTATTAT